AGCAGGAATTGCTCCTGAGCAGACTGCTGCTGGAGCAGAGCTGTAGCCTTGGATCAGGAGTGACTGTGGGATTAATATCCCAGTGCTTCACTCTGATTTTCCTAGCACCCTCTGGGGAAGCAAGCGCTGCTGATATGACCCTGCAGTGTTGCTGCTGAGAGGCAGAGCTGCTAAGTGGTTTAGCGCTGACAGGATGCAGCCTCCACTCTCCCCAGAGTGCTTGAGCCCTGGGCTGGATTTGACCCCTTTTTTTGCCCCTCCTGCCACCCCTTCCCCAAAAGCAAGTGACAGCAAGGATTGATTAATAATATATTGTGCCTCTTGCAGGGGCTGGTCCCTGTGCACTCATAGGATCTAGTTCCCTACCAGGGAAAATGCACTGGAACGCAGGGTCCCTGTGTGCTGACGCAGAGGGCTCTGTCCCAGAGCAGGCCACAATGTGGCTGCAAGCTGTAGTCCAGAGTTATCTGAGCACTCTGTGCCTTTTCTGTATCTCACCTGATTTTCTTGTCTCATGTCTGCTTATAGCACTCGTCCTGGGCTTTGACTGGGGAAAGTACCTGCAGGAGCACGGCTTCAAGGCAGCTCCTGTCAGCTGCTTCAAACACGTGAGTTCTTCTTTGCTGTGCCTTGCAGTGCGCATGGGACATTGTATGCATGGGGCACTCCTGTACTCCTGTGACAAGCGGTGGGGAGAGACCTGGGGAGCTGGTTATTAAGCCCTAGCTGATGCAAGGAAAGAAGCTGGGGCCTCTTAGCTAAGAATGGGAGTCCCGCAGAGGGACCTGGAGTTTTGGGGAAGGAAGCAGAGAGGGACTTGGTAGACGCACTGCTGGTGGTGATGGCCCAGTGCTGGCTGGGGACAGAATTAATTGAGTGGGGGGTATAGCGGAAAGCTCCCAGTTACCTTTGCAGTTTGTGTGGGTGAGCACAGCCCAGGGTGATGTGCAGGGAGGAACTCAGCTTATGTGGGCCTGGCAGTAGCTGCCCCTCCAGCATGTCTGGTTCCTGTCATACTGATTTGCAATCCTTGTGGGCCAAGTAGCCGAGGCAGATACGTGGAAGAATGGCAGTTCTTAGGTATTATAGCAGCCCCAGCCTCTCTGTGTATTAAGACTCACTTGTTATGTTCCTTTTGAGTTGTGATCTGTGATAATACTAATAAAATTTTGTTTTTATTGAGGATAGGTCAGGAAGACACGGCAGTTTGATGGTTAGGGATTTTGATACCAGAGAGGAATGGCAGCAGCTACTTTGGGATAATAGGACAGCTGGCAGTGAAATAGTTAAGCGTTGCTATACAATGTTCTGCCTTTTGGGATCCTCTGTGAACACCCCAGTGAGATGCTGGGACAGTTCGGTTGCATTTCAAGCTGTTGGCACATATAGGAAGGGTGAGGTATGCAAACCTAGGCCTAAGGTGAAAGTGTAGCTGCCTAAAACATATCTCTCAAAGCTAGAACAAGGGCCTGAGCCCTGCTCTAACTGTCAACGTCCCTTTCCCAACATGGCTGCCTCAATCCTTCAGGTGCCACTCTTTGATCAGTGGGATGATGTGGTGAAAGGTATGAAAGTGGAAGTGCTGAACAGTGATGCCGTGCTCCCCAGCCGCGTGTACTGGATTGCATCTGTCATCCAGACTGTAGGTATGTCTCCAATGTAATTCCCAACAGCTGGGGATGGCTAACCTCTGAGGGAAGCTTTAGAGAGCCCAGTGTAGCTGGTCAAGTAAAACATCAGCTCTTTGGAGCTCTGCAACTGCTGAGAGATTTTGGAACAGGAAATACCACGGTGCAGGGGTGGGAGGAAACCAGCATCTGGCTGCTGTTCTGGTTGCTGGGCTCTTTGCGAGGATGGTTCTGCCTCCAGGATGGCTGGAGAAGCTCTGATAACCTATGCAGAGCTCTGAAGGCCATGCTGTGGGGACTAAGCCTGTGATGCCCAACAGAGAGAGGAGAAATTCTTGGCCTCTAATGCCTTTCTCTGGTTGTCTGCTCTGTCCCGGCAGGGTACAGGGCCCTTCTGCGATACGAGGGCTTTGAGAATGATGCTGGCCATGACTTCTGGTGCAATTTGGGCACAGTGGATATTCACCCCATTGGCTGGTGCGCCATCAACAGCAAAATCCTGGTACCACCACAAAGTGAGTGTGGGGTGAGAGGGGTCAGCACGTGCCTGGGCATGGGGGAGCCTTGGTTTATACCCAGCATAGTGGGACAGGTGCTCCCACTGTACGTGGGACCACAGCTCCATTTGTGCTCTGAGTTACAAGGAACAGTTAATTCTTTGGGAAGCTGGAGACTGCTCCCTCTGCATCTCCTTGTGGTTGACCCTGGGAGTGCTGGATGCAGAGCTGGTGTCAGACCTATGGACAGGGGCTAATGCAGGTGGCTGTTCCTCCTTCTGACTCACACAGTGGCTAGGCTTAACCTTTGGGGGAACTTTTTGGTCCTACATCCTGGACAGTGTCTCTGGGGAGCACACTGGATCCAGTCACTGCTCAGCTAGCAGTTAGGAGAGGGATGCCAGTTTAGCAGAATTCCAGCTGAGGTTTGCTTGATATGGCTTGCACGTTCTTGCTCTAATACCACTTCCACATCTAGATCAGTGGAGTTGGGTGTCTGCTTGGCCCAGTCCATTCTGTAATGGTGGTCCCTTGCAGCCAGTTGTGGGGGTGAGCTTGCAGAACACGGTCTGCCTGAGAGCAGGTACAGGATCTGAATGTGAAGAAGGCCTTTTAGTGCAGATGGACTCTTGGAGAGGAAGAAAGGTGTAGTGTGATGCTGTAATTCCTTCAGTCATAAAGATGTGCTTTTTCCCTGTGCATATCTAGCTATCCATGCCAAGTACACTGACTGGAGAAGTTACCTCATGAAAAAACTGGTTGGAGCCAGGACCATCCCAGTGGATTTCCACATCAAGGTAAATGTGGGAGGCTGTCATTTTATGTGTGGAAATGAAGCCGAAGCCAAGACGTGTGCGGAACATGTCTCTTCTGGTTCTGATCTGTGCAACTCCTCTGTGTGTCCCCTCGAAACGTGGGCAGGACAGGGGCAGTGAGACACCTGTCATGATGCTGTAGGTAATGGCACAGCCCCTATGCCCTGTCAGCACAACTGTTTCTCCTTTGGGTCATAGATGGGCTTTAAAAGCTGTTGTCACGTCAACCTCTGCTGGAAAATACTGGGGTTGAGTTTGTTTTTTTGCTGAAGAAAGAGGCCAATGCAGCTCCAACCTGGCCTTTCCCTGCCCTGTTTCAGTGCTGGGGAATGGCTCTGAGAGTCAAAAACCTTTGCCTTCAGCATTGGTAGCACAGCAGCCTGTGGGGATTGAGAGGGGTGCAGGCTCCCTCAAAATGCATGGAAGTAGCGGTGCCATGGCCTTGCCAGCTTTATAGCTCTTGTGGTTGTTTTGTGTAGCCTGCACTGAGGTTAGACCTTGTCGGGGAGAATAGACTCTTTTGTCGCTGGTAACTTTGTAAACCACAGATAAGGAAGACAGTCCCAGAGGCAGCTGGCAGGAAGGCAGGTGATGGGTTTTCCTGTGTGTGAGGTAATTGGTGACACAGAGCTGGAGACCTTGATGTAGCTGGTGTTTCCCTTGTTGCTTCTCAGAAAGTTGAGAGGATGTTCGTAGCTGGGCCACAGCTTGTAGCTGAGAGCTCATGCCATGGAAGGGAAGTGGTAGAGGGAAACAGATGTTGTCAGTAGCTTTCTCCCCCCAGCATTTCCACTCCCACCTAATGAACAGGAGCTGGAAGGGGAAAATCATCCCTTAAAAGTTCTTCTGGATTCAGATGTAAGCTATTTTGGATGTCTGAGTCTGTTTTGAGCTGTGGCTCTTAGTTGCTGCACAGCATTCTGGGATCTCCAGTGCCAAAATGTCAGGTGTCCTATAAACACATTTGGGTATTTGTGGATGAGTAGGACTAGGCTGTATCAGCAAACTGAAGGTCTCAAAAAAAAAAAAAAAAAAAAAAAATCAGAAGGCAGCCAGTGGCTCTTTTCATGTGCCTGCACCTTTGGGTCAGTCTGCAGAGTAACTCTGGCATTGGAGGTGGAGTTGGCAGATAGATCATCATGTTGCCTAACCTCTGATCGGAATTAAAAGGGCCTGATCTCTTTTGAAGTCAACTGAAAATCCTGTTGCCCTTTGAGAAGCTACACCTCTAACTGCTTCCAGCCTTGAAACCCTTATGGTCTCTTTCATGACAAAAAGGCATGCAATTCCTACTCAGTTGCTGCTGAACAGAATTGACATCTGTTTCTCACACTCAGAACATTCACACAAGGTGCTGGCTGAGCACGGCTGCTGAGCAAGGGTGGGGGTAGCTGTTACAGGCCCACAGGACAGGGGAGACTTAGGGTGCATGTGCCCAACTGTGGTAGCATGTAAGGGGCTGGCAACTCCCTATCCTCCCATTCATCCCTTCCCAGAGGTGTCTCCCAGTCAGCTTTGGGCAGTGTAGGGGGTTGGCCTGCATGTCTGTGGGGAAAGCTGTTCTCTGAAGTGTTTGGATAAGGAAAGCATCAACTGCAATTGATCTCGCCTCCTCTGTTGGTTGTTGCCAGATGGCGGAGAGCATGAAGTACCCGTTTCGGCAGGGCATGCGGGTAGAGGTGGTGGATAAGAACCATGTGTCCCGGACGCGCATGGCAGTGGTGGACACGGTGATTGGGGGCAGACTGAGACTCCTCTATGAGGACGGCGACAGCGATGATGACTTCTGGTGCCACATGTGGAGTCCCCTCATCCATCCTGTGGGCTGGTCACGAAGAGTGGGCCACAGCATGAAGAAGACAGGTAGGGATCGGGCCACCACAAGCATCTTTTAATTTGCTATGAGATGCCTGGGCCCTGCTGTTGACACCAGTCTTGACATGCTGGGAGCCAGGCAGCTGCCTCAGGACCTGACAGATAAGGTCTGCACAGCTGTGTGTTGTCTGCTTTTCCCCCGCATAGATAAAAGCCCAGCGATCTGCTGCCACAGGTCGGGAGGGGGGAGTGTAGGGTTTCTTACCTGAAGCAGATAGTCTATCCCCACAGTGTGAGAATGCAGAGTCTGCAACATCACAGGTGTTTCTAGTCTTTTTGAGGAAATTCATGCTGGCTTCTGTAAGACTGGATGCTGTCAGGTTGAGTTTTTTCTGGACTTTACAGAGAGGAATTCTTGATCAGCTTAGACTGGCGTAAAAAACAAGACTTGCTGATCCTTTTGATTGTGTCTCCCTTCCTTGCTGCCTCTCCCTGGTGATTACAGCTGCATGTAGAGGTGTTATCACTGGTGTTATCACTAGCGCTCAGAAAGATCATCCATCTGCTTTTAAGCAAGCCCTGCATCACCGCCCATGTTATGGAAAGGTGTAGAGGGACTGACCTGTTTGATTTTTTTTTTTTTATTACTCTTGTCATGGTCTCTGATCTAGCTCTTATAGCTGCTAAGCTCTCACCAGATAATTAATAGCCAGAGTGTTTTCTTACTGCAGTTGCTGCAGGTTTCTTAACTCTCTCTGTTTCTTCCATTCCTCACAGAAGAAAAACGCAGTGACATGGCAAACCATCCCACCTTCCGGAAGATTTACTGTGATGCTGTCCCCTATCTGTTTAAGAAGGTAGGACGCGTCTGCCTTTCTGTGTTGGCCGCAGCAAAGGAAGCAATGATACCGCTTCCTTCCTTGGGTATATATGCTGCTGTGTGGGTTGTTGAGGATGGCTCCTTTGTCTCTCTTACAGCTATAGGGCAGTAAGGTGTTTGGGGTGTCAAGGCTGTGGTTGGGCACAGGCAGGTCAAAATAGAAAGATGGAAGAACTAAAAAACGATGACAGATTGAGGTACTCAATTGAAGGGCGAGCCGTTGCTTGGAACTTTGAGTTGGAGAGGGAAGATGATTGCATGGGAGAGACCAGTTCAGACAAGGGCCTGGATCATACTGGTAAGGACTGAGATGAGAAGGAGGCTTGCTTTGCTGTGGAGCAGTGGCTGAGTGCTGGGCCTGGCTCTCTGACCAGAGGCTTGGCAGGAGATTGCTGACACAAACACAGCATTGGTTTGGCTGCCTCTTCGTATTTCATAGAATCATAGAATCATAGAATCATTAAGGTTGGAAGAGACCTCCAAGATCATCGAGTCCAACCATCAACCCAACACCACCATGCCCACTAAACCATGTCCCTAAGCGCCTCATCTACCCGTCTTTTAAATACTTCCAGGGATGGTGACTCAACCAGGACTCATGCGTCCTGTCTGCCTGTTGGGCCTGTCTCAGGGAAGGCAGGGTGCGATTCCAGTACTCTCTCTCTCTCTCACGCTCCCTGATACTCCTCAACCTACTCCCCTCCTCATGGAGCTCTGCCACTAAGCGGAGGAGTTCCTCTACCCGGGCGCAGCTCCCACAGGTGTGCTCACTGCTGCCGACCGCTACTGGCGTAAGAGCCGGGAGACTTGTTCTCCAGCCCCCTCACCAGCCTCGTTGCCCTTCTCTGGACACGTTCCAACATCTCAACATCCTTCTTGTAGTGAGGGGCCCAAAACTGAACACAGTATTCGAGGTGCGGCCGCACCAGTGCTGAGTACAGGGGCACGATCACTTCCCTGCTCCTGCTGGCCACACTATTTCTGATACAGGCCAGGATGCCGTTGGCCTTCTTAGC